AATCTTCTAATATCTAAAATTACGTCTCTCCTGCCAGCTACAAAAACCTCTATTTCTTCATACTTTTGGCGAGGTTTTATTTGGGGGAGAGATCTCCTTGTAAGCAGATTGAGCCTTCGGGTTAGAAGGGGATCATCTATCAAGGCTTATTCTGACCCATGGCTTTCAAGATCCAATTCTTTTCTACATGGAAAGCAAATTTCTCCTCTTGTCATGAGAGGCGAATGGATTCTAAATTACTTCAACCAATATGAACAAGCTAGGATTAAGTCACATACCGCTAACAGGAGTACCGCTACTTCTCAAGCCCATCAGCAATGGAGACCTCCAGCAGAAAATTCCTTTAAATTGAACACGGACGTGGCTTGTAGACCAAATTTATCTTCCATCGGGGCTGTGCTTCGTGATTCAAATGGTTTCCTTGTTGCGGCAACAATGATTCAACATCCTTCTCCCCTGCCTCCTCTGTTGACGGAAATTTGGGGAATTTTGGAAGCCATAAAATTCGCTGCAGCGGTGAACTGCACCCATTTGAAAGTGGAATCTGATTCCCTTGAAGCTATTCGGTTGATCAAGAGAAGAAATATCCACCATGGGAGGTGAGTTAGACTGGCAGTTGGAGGTGAAATCCCTAGCTTCTTCCTTTCAATCGATTTCTTTCCATCATGCTCCCAGGACATGCTATCTATTGGGCCCACTCTTTGGCAAAATGGGGTGCAGGTTCTTCTTGGTCCCTGCCAAAATTTCCAATTTGGCTTTTGAATGTTGTCCAAGGGGATTAATTTAATACAACTACTTTTTTTTCAAAAAAAAAAAAAAAGAAAAATTCTTTTCATTTTTTTTAGTAATTCAATTACGTACAACTTTTTTAATGCAATAAATATAAAGGCGTGAGATTTAACCTTATACCTTAAAAAATATATATATTCATCATGAATAGAGTCATGTTCATGTTATTGAATTAGGTAGATTTTTAATTAAATTACGGTGAATATTTATTGTTCAAAATTTTAATTTATTAAAAATCATTTTTAAAAGTTGTCTGGAGTATAATTTTGTTATCTAATATTAGAAAAACATTTTTTTGGAAGAAAGATCAAAACATAAATTAAAAATTTCGATAAGTTAAAAATATACGAATTTAAGATATTAATTTAAAAGATTACAAGCAGTTCAATAATTTTTTCGTAAAATGTATTAATGATCGACTATTTTCTTAGTTAAACTGAAACAACATGGTGATCGAGATAAATTTGTCGGCAGTGATATGTCACGTGGATATATGTACGTCTATTTTTGGATCTGATTTTCATTTTAAAATTATTGTTATTTTCTTCCTATTTGTAATTTGTATAATCAATTAGGAAATCGTTTT